AATAGGAATTAAGGTTGTAGGTGGAATGAAAGTTGCTAACCAGCTAACTTTGGAATGGACAGATTAATCTGGATTACCTAGGTGGGTCCAATGTAAGTATAAGGGTCCTTGTAAGTGCAAGAGGGAGGTATATGGCAGAAAACCAGATTTATAGAAGCCTAGCATTGCTGGTTTTGAAGCTGGAGGAATGGGGCCACCAGCCAATGGCCTCTATAAGCTGGAAAAACCAGCTTGGAAGCTGATTCTCCCCTAGAACCTCCAGAACATAGCTGCCCTTCCCATACTTTGATTTCAGCCCAGGGAGACCTATTTCAGGTTTCTGGCCTCTAGAACTTTAAGATAATAAATCTGTGTTATATTAAATTTGTGGTAATTTGTTTCTGCACCAATAGAAAACAAATATAGTTGGATTGTTTTTCTGAGTTCTGGTCATGTTAACAGTAACACCCCCCAGGAAAACAGTACCCAGTTTTAAGTTTTCTTTTTCTGCTTTTGCCAAAGAAAGCACTTGACCTAGATTCCGATTCCCCTTTTCTATATTCACCTTCATCTTCCTCAAGGCATCAATCTGGCAATACAGATATACTGGAGTACCGACTCAGTAGTGCTATGGGATGAAAAGGTTATTATTTTTTTTTAAAGATTTATTTATTTATTTATTCATGAGAGACACAGAGAGAGAGAGAGGCAGAGGGAGAAGCAGGCTCCCAAGGAGCAGGGAGCCCGATGCGGGACTCGATCCCAGGACCCTGGGATCACGACCTGAGCCGAAGGCAGACGCTTAACCATCTGAGCCACCCAGGCACCCGAAAAGGTTATTTTAAATAATGGCCTTTACAGATTTCTTCTGGTCCCACTTCAACAAACACAGCAGCTCTAGCTTCCATAGTTCAACACATCTTCTCTACCAACAATGCCGACCAACCGGAGGAAACCGATGTGATAGAAACCATGGGTAGAGAAAACATATGTAGATGCACATAGGCTCCTCTCACTAAACTGCTCTGGTGGAAGGATAATGAGTATTATCAGCCTTAGGGAATTTGCTGTTCTCTTTATGCTTACTTTCTGTTTTAGACTTCTTCCTTTTGAATGTCATTTCTGTCTCAGTTTTAAAACCGTTATCAGGTCTACCAGCAAGCCCAATCTGACCTTTATGTTCATCAGATAATTAAGACCATGCCAGGATGGAACCAGTCCTCCTCCGCAAAGTGATGATGATGCTTTGTTCTTAACAATGTTTACAGAGGGCAAAATTTTCCTGGCACTGCTTCCCTGGAGTGCTCTTTTGGGTCAGTTTCACCACCGGGGCAGGACTTTGTGATTTTGCAGAAGATCCAGACCTTTCCCTGCTCCAAAGCCCTTATCAGTTGATGAGAGATTACAGACTCAGGCCAAGTAGCCTGGCTTGGGTTCCAGTCCAGAGTGGAGGACCAACTGCTACCAGCCATGTAGTGTCAGGAACAGCACACTGCTCTCATTCACATTCAACTGCTTGGCTTAAGTGTCACCTCCGAGAAATCGGACACCTCACCTACTTAGCATTAGTTAGGGCTTCATGATTTATATAGCAAATCATTAATTGCATCCATCCATTTTTCCACCTACTCCACCTCATGCCCTTCCCATCTGATCAACAGGTGTCTATTTACACCTACTATTAACCAGGCACTTTGCTTAGCACTGTATATACAGTGGTGAGCAAACATGAAGAAATTCCTTCCCTCGTGGAGTTCCCACTTTCATGGTAAAGAAAAATAGAGTTTCACTAAACATACAAGTAAATGTCCATGTATCAACAGGTACACTGAACTCATAGTCCAAATAACAGTGGCAGCAGCAACAACAAAAGTCTTCCAGTCTGCTAAGAAAGAAATAAGAATACAGACAAACAGAAATAAAAGGAAAGAATGGAACAAGCATGATATTATATAAAATAGGACTGGGACAGAAGGGTGGTAGTTATATTGGGGATGGATATTAAGAAGATGAGTATGTAATTAGAGAGTAAGAAATACACAGAGTCTTTTTTTTGAATGAAGACAGTGGAAGGAGTTAAGTGCTCAGACAGAAGTCCAATTATCTGTGGAACAAATTCTCAGGTCTTCAAACCCCAGTTCCATTTCTTTCCAGCCTACATGAATGAGCTTTCTTGAGCCTTGGGGGCCACTATATGTAAGCTGAAGATTTGTTCTGTTTCATGCATCTGCTGAGAATTTAAAAAGAGAGAATATTCAAGAAAGCCCTTAGAACAGTGTCTGATATATACAAAGCCTTTAATATTCTGTTTTTGGAGTTGGACATGAAAACTGAATGGATCAATCACAAATAGGACTGTGGAGTGAAACTTAGCCCTGAAAAACATTCTTGTTTTTCAACAACACTCTGATAGCAATGAGCATACCCAATGCCTACATCTTGGTTTCTCCTATCCAAGCACTAACCAGGCCCAACCCTGCTTAAGCTTCTGAGATCAGATGAAATCAGGGATGTTCAGGGTGGTATGGTGGTAGACTCACATCTTGGTTTCTAATACCATTCTCCAATAAAACGAACCAGCACTCCTTGGAGAAATGGCTGATCCTAGGACTGGAGCAGGAAATATACAAGATCAGCCTGAAGCACTTTGTGTTGCCAGAAATGAACACAGAGTGCTAAGGAAGCGCTAAAAACAAAGATGCATATATATATATATATATATATATATATATATATGCACATTTTTGTATTTTCTGACATATCCCCCATCATTATATATATAAAGTTATATATATAAAATGCATTATATATATATAATGATGGTGATATGTCAGAGGATACAGAAACCACTAGAAGAACTCCCAATGGCCAAAGCTGGAAGAACTTTAGTACTAAAATAAATAAAATCATATTGGACTATAATCCAAAGTATAAAATAAATATTCATAAGCCCATACTGATACAGAAGTCATGAGGAAACATCAGAAAAACACCAATTAAAGGACATTCTACAAAATACTTCACCAGTACTCCTCAAACTTGTCAAGATAATAAAAAACAAGATGAAGTCTGAGGAACTGTCACAGCTAAGAGGAGCCGAAGGAGACAGTACTGCTAAATGTAATAGAGTATCCTGAATGAGATCCTGAAATAAAAAAGGACATTAGAAAAAAAATGAAGGACCTTTGAATAAAGTGTGGACTTTAGTTAATAATAATTACCAAAGTTGCTCCACTAATTATGACATGTGTCATACTAACGTAAAATATTAATAAAAGGAGAAAGTGGATGTGGTATACATGGGAACTCTCCATGCTATCTTCACAATATTTCTTTAAATCTACTGTTATAAAATAACTGTTTATTAAAAAAAACACACACACAAAGAAAAGAAAGCATTCTTGCAATGCCAGACCTTTTGGCATCCTGGGAACAGCATAGAAAAGATCCACACATACTCCCAAATTATTCCCCCATAGGGGTGAGGGTTAGAAGAGCCAATGGTTTGATTTACCCAAGGTCTGAAGAAGAGGTTATTCTGCTCATTCATCTAAGCCTGTGTTTGCCTCTTGGTTATTTCTTGGCTACACTTTCAAACTTAGGGTGTATTGTTTCTATTTTGATCACTGAATAAGAATAGAAGAGTAAAAACCATGTTCTCTGTTTTTAATTAGTGGCAATTCTAAAGTCAGTCTCTTTTAACTGAAATTTAGGATCCTCAACAAAATACATAACTTTCCCAGCAGTTTTGTGACAATTTCTCCAGCCTGTCTCTTTGTTGCCCTTTACCATTACTGCATTTTTTTTCTTTGTGTTTCCAACACGATACCAATTTCAAAATTGCATAAGGGTTTTATTGTGAAGATTTGCCTTCTTGGTTCAATTTTCTATAATATAGGTCAGCACATGCCCCTTCACTGAGACAACTTGCACCTTCCTCCCCCACTAAGAAACAAAGCTCATATCACGTTGAGTTCAGCGATACCCACTTCGGCAATAAGAGCGTGAGAAAAAGTCATTCTATTATGGCATTAGACACTCATCCGGCGGGTTATTTTAAATATTACCAGAACTTGAATAGCAACAATAACAACCCATTCTATTAAAAAAAGGGGGGGGCGGGAGGAAAAAAAGAAAGATAAAGGAAAACAAGAAAAACAATAGAAAAAAGGACTTCATTGCCTAAGTGCTTAAGATCTATGTCGATTTCCTCCATTTTCCTAAAAAGTTAATGCGAAGAAAACAAACTAATAGGAAACGTTCCCAGGATTTTAAATCTCATGAGCCCAGAATCCGTGAAAATCCTGTTTAGAACCACCCCGTGAAACAGGCTTTGGGACGTCCCCCCGCTACTCGTTCATTCAGCTTCTGCCTCTTTTTTAACAATCATTCCTGTGGACGTCCCCCGAGGACACAGCAGCTGGCTGGAGTCCCCAGACCAGACTTCCCTAACTGAATATAGATAGATGTGCAGGTGGGGAGGATACAAGTAAATCTGGCTCAACGGCCACGAATTCCCCTCATCCCCCTGCCCCACAAGTGCGTTGCGTTTTACCCGTACAGTAGGAAGCTTCAGAAACCAAGACAACTCTAGCACTACCCGCTTCCTTCTCTGGCACTTCGCGTGTGGCCGGCGCCTGCCTCCCTGTGATGCCATCTTGAGATCCTAGCATCTTCTAAGTAGTTAGTGAGTTCTTGCATTCTGTTCGCGTCCCTGCGTCTTTGAAAACGTACCCGAACTTTGGAAGAAGGTGAGAAACCTGCTGGTGTGGGCTCTTAATTTTCTCCACCCAGAACTGACAAAATCAGATGCTGTTTACAGTAAGCCGAATAAACCGCCCCGCGCCAGCCTGCGCCCTGATTCCCGCTCGCTGGGTGCCAAGTCAGACTCCCCGCGGCGCACCCGCAGCCCGGGGCCCCGGAGACAGCCGTCCGCGAGCGCCGCGTCCAGGGGCTGGAGGTCTGGGGGGCCGGGTCCCAGCACGCGTGGGTGGGAGGGTGGAGGTACCCCAGCAACTCACAGCCCAGCGCGACCACCAGGTAGCGCAGCAGCAGCAGGAGGAGGCGGTGGCGGCTCCTCCTCGCCATCTTCCCGGGGTCCGAGCTGGCTGCTCCTCCGAGGCCGAGGGTCCCGGCGGCCGGAGCGCGGCAGGCCGGGCGGGAGCCCCTCAACTTCTGGGGCGGGAGCGCAGGAGAGATTCGCTCCGGGGAGAGGAGGGGAGAGGTGGGCGGACCCTGATGGATGTCAGTTTCCCCCTGCCGGGGGCGCCTTCTCAACGGGCAGCCTAGGGGCAGGTCTGGCCTGTCCCCGGGCTGGGGGTGGGGGGGGGGGGGAGGGCGGTGGCTTTTGTGGGGGGAGGGGGGGGGGGGGGGGGGCCGGGGGATGCCGGACGAGGTGTGGGCTGGGTCCTAATGAGGGGGCAGGAGGAGGCGAGGAGCGGAAGGGAAGCCCTGGAGGGCGTCCCCCCGCCCCCGCGCCGCCGGGATTGATCGGCTTTGTGTCTGGTCCGGCGCGGGGCTGCCGGCTGTCCCCGGGGCGAGGAGCCGAGGGTGGGGGGGAGGCGCGGGCCGCGGGGGCTGGTGGGGGGGAGGCGGCGGTGGAGGGCAATTCTGCCTGCCTCGCTCCAACTCCTGTCTTCCTTCTTCTGGGCACAAAACTTTTTGGGTTTTCAGCCTAGGGGTGGAGATTTTTGGAAAATTTCTGGCCAACGGGCGAAGCTGCGGGGGAGGCGCTGTGGGGGAGATGGGGTTCGCCGGCTCCGCCTTGGACGCCAGAGAAAGAAAAAAGAAAAAAAAGCAATCAAGACTCTTGCTAGAAGGCAGGGCTCCGATTTTAGCAATAGTCTTGGCCCTTTCTCAGTGTAAGCTTTTTGCTCTTTGGAGAGTTGAGGTGTGTTTTGTGTTCTTTGCTTTTCACGTGTCAGAGTTGGAAGTTCATCTAACGGTGTAAAATATTTATCATGTTTCTTTCCAGTTATATAACCGCTGCCTGTGGAGTTTTCCACATGTTAAAACTCTACAGCTGCGCTTTGTCAGGTTTATTTTTGGTCTACTGTGCTTTTAAAAGGGAAACCCATTATGAATGCCCTGTTGCCTTCTTTAAAATTGACCTGCACTTATACTGCACACACTCCAAGGGCTAAACAGACAATTTTTGTATTTGCTCCCCAGGGACCAAAAATGTCTAGTGCATTCAAGAATAGTGACAGATCTGGACCATCCTCAAGAGAAGAAATTGTTATACATCAGTTTTTTTTTAAAGGTAGAATAATGAATAAAATACTGAATAGAAGACAGTTGATTTAGTGGGGGTGCATATGAAGAATTTAGCTCACTGGACAAAGGCGACCAGAGTTGAGATATGCAGAGCTGTGAGAAAGGAGACATCCCTGCTGTTTCCTTGGTGACAGTGATGGAAGCTTGATGCCCAAGGCAGGGAGGGGCAGAGGACCCAAATAGTCAAAATGGCCAAAACGTTAGAGCTATACTCCAGTCAAGCAAGGAGAGGGGACACAGATTTAACAACAGGCCTATGCCAGTTTTTCTGGGTAGCAACCAGAAAAATGTAATGCTTTACAAGAGAAGTTGATGGCGTTCTCTTTTTTCATTCTTGCCACTGTATATCTCTTTTGCTCCTCCCTAAAGATACACACAAAAAAAGGCATACTTTTTTAAATTAGTATTCTGTGACATCCTATGTGAATAATTGATTCACTCCATTATTTGTCACCCAGTTAAAGCATTTGCCAAATAGCTACATTGTGCTAGATGCTGGTGTACAATGATGAACAAGATTGAGTCTTTGCTGCTCATGAGCTCATAGTCTTGAGAGAGAGAAAGAGTCCCATCTGGAAAGACCTCTAATACTACGTGATAAGTGTTGTGGGAGAACAGAAAAAAGTAACCAGTTCTTATTGAGTGCTTTCTCAGTGGTGGAGTCTGGATAGTGCTAATCTAATCCCCCAACAATTCTGTAAGGCAGAAAATATTATCACTCCCACTTTGCAGATGAGAAAACTGGGCTGAGAGATTCTACTGGCTTGTTCAAGGTCAAGGATAAGGGAAATGTTCCTCTGTTGGAGGGTGTGTGCATGGCTTTATTTAGGCATGGAAAGTTACAGATTTTGAAAGGAATAAAATGAGCAAAGGGCACTCTAGGTAGAGGATAGAGCAGGATCAAAAGCTGGAAGATCTAAAAATTATGGTTTGTTTAGGTAAAGCAATGTTCTACAGTGCCGGTTTATATGTGGGATTGGTGCAGAAGAGGTGGCAAGAACTGAAAAGGGGATTGGATTATGGGGGTCATTCAGTGCCATACTAGAAACCCTAGACCTTATCCTATAGTTAAAGACCTTTTGAAAGCACTGGGGTAGGATATGAAAAAAAAATCCACGTTTTAGAACTGTGCTGTGTAATATGGTAGCCTCTAGATCCATGAAGCTATGTAGATTTGAAATCAATTAAATCTAAAATTCAATTCTTCAGTCACACTAGCCATATTTGATGTTCTCAGTAGCAACATAGGAGGTAATGGCTACCCTATTGGCCAGTGCAGATATAGAGCATTTCCATCATTTCAGAACATTCTACAAGACATTGCTGCCTTAAAATGATAACACATATGGAAATATAGACTGGATTAGGGATAAGAGAATCAGAATGTTAGACAAGTCTGGAGACTATTGCAATATTCTGAGAAAGAGATGAGGTATGAAGTAAATAGGGTAAGGAAAGAAGCAGGTAGATTCAAAAGATATTTCATAAACCTGGGTAGCAGGATTAGGTCATTGATTAGGTATAGAGGGGACGAAGCAGAGAAGGGAACTGAGTTTTTTAGCCTGGATGGATGTATGTGGTAGTTATAAATAGCACATTAACTGAATAAGAAACATGGGGAGCATGCATAGTTCCAGCAGGTTTGAAATGAGTTGACTGATTTGCTAGAATGGCTCACAGAATTCAGGGAAATGTACTGACTTACTATTACCTGTTTATAAAGAACAATACAACTGAACAGCCAGATGAAGAAATACATAGGGTGAGGTCTGAAGCGTCCTGAGCACAGGAGCTTTTGCCCCATGGAATTGGAATGTGCCATCCTCTTGGCATATGGATACATTCACCAACCTGGAAGATCTTTGATCCCTGTAGTTTAGAGGTTTTTATGGAGGTTTCATTAGGCAGGTATGATTGATGAAACCATTGGCCATTGGTGATTAACTCAATCTCCAGCCCCTCTCCCCTCTAATCATGCCTTGGTCTTTCTAGTGACCAGCCCCCAGTCTGAAGCTATTTAGGGCCCCCCAGCCTCTAGACATCTCATTAGCATTCAAAAGACATTCATGATTCTGGAGATTCCCAAGTGTCTTAGAAGCTTTTGTGTTAGGAAACAGGGACTAAGATCAAATATAACAAAAGATGCTCCTGTCACCCCATCACTCAGGAAATGACAAGGATTTTAGAAGCTCTGTACAAGGAACCAGGGATGAAGACCAAATATATATTTCTTATTATATCACAATATCACACTATACACTCCAGCCATCATGCTTCTTTGTATTTATCCAAAGGAGTCGAGAACTTATGTCCACACAAAAACCAGCTTTATTCATAATTGTCAATCAAAATGTTCTTCAGTAGGCAAATGGATAAATAAGCTGTGGTACATGCAGACAGTGGAATAATAATCAGAGCTAAAAAGAAATGAATCCATGAAAAGACCTGGAGGAACCTTAAATGCATATTATTAAGTGAAAGAAGCCACTAACTGAAGTGGCTACATATTGTTTGATTCTGACTATATGACATTCTGGAAAAGTCAAAACTATGTAGGCAGCAAAAAGATCAGTGGTTTCCAGGGATTAGGGGTGACAGAGGGATGAATAGGTGGAATACAGAGGGTTTTTAGGGTAGTGAAACTACTCTGTATAATACTACAGTGGTGAATACATGCCAATATATATTTGTCCAAACCCATAGGATGTGCAACACCAGGAGTGAGCCCTAATGTAAACTGTGGACTCTAGGTGATTATGATGTGTCAATGTGGGTTTATGAATTTAGCAAACATACCATTCTGGTAGGAGGATGTTGATAATGGGGGGAGGGTATATGGGAGGTCTCTGTAACCGTCTGCTTCATTTTGCTGTGAACTTAAAACTGCTCTAAAAAAAAAAAAAGCAAAATCTAGCAACAAAATTAAAACAAAAGAAGACCTAGGGAATGATCACAGAAAAGAGCAGTCAGAAAGTGTGAGAGAAACTGGGAGAGAACTAAGAGCAAAGAGGTGTTTACAGCATCACATGCCAAAGAAGGGGATCGAGAATTTCTCTTGCAGTTAGCAATTATGAAGGCATTGACCACTTGAACAATAGAGAAAGCAAGCCTCTGAAAAACTTGTGGGAAAAAACTTAAGAGACTTGTGTTCTATACTTAATAAGGTATAAAACTAGTGCATAAGATAAAAACAAACAAGGAAATGCTTACAAATGTCATCAGGAGCCAGATGATGAAAGGATTAGCAAGAGCTAATATTGCTTCATCGATGAGTGATTGGGAGTTGCTTTCATTATTGTTCTTCTTGTAAGAATCCTTGCCCCAGGGAGCATGGGGCAGCTTGTAGGGAGGAATGAAGAGGAAACATAGGGAGTCCCTCAAACTCGCTTTTTTTCTGTGATCATATTGGGCTCCCCCTCTCCCCAAGTGTCATAATCACTCTGACACTATAAACAGTTTTGTCAGGTTAACATAAATGGGAACTTGGTGCTTTTGGACATCATACCATTTTTTATTCTTTCCACCCACTTTAATTCTGAATTCAAGGTAATGTTGAAGAGGGTGTCAAGGCACATTTACTAAAACAGACAATAGAGAGAAGGGCTGGGTTTAAATTGAGGGACTTCTCACAACACCTCAGATCTGGTATTTCTGTGTTGGCTGGGTTATTTTTCTTCATGGGTGTGGAGAAGGTGCTGGAAAGTGTGTCTACATTCTGCAATTTGGAGAAAAGAAAAAAAAGCCTTTCATTTCCAGAACGACACAAATTCCCGTGTCTCTCCTATAATTTTAAACTATGGATAGAATTTAAGGTCTTTAACTAATGGGATCCTCATTACTTATCCCTCATTATTTTCTCCTCAGATCACTTTCCGGAATAATCCTCATTTCAACATTTCATTCTGATATGCCCACAAGCACACTCATGGCTCATGCTCAAACCACATCCCTTTCCAGTCAAATAAACCTATTCAGAGAAACCCACAGTGTCTCCAGCACGTAGCCTTCATTACTCTCCCAAAGTGACGCGTTTCTTCAGGTACATCGTAGCAAAACT